ACAATGCAAGTATCACCACAATCTTATATAATTTTTCATTAAGTTTGAGGGGGGGGCTTTTCTATCACACAACAAGCCCGATGTATTCCTGCACTTCAATCATCCAACTTGAATTCTACTAAAAAAATCTTCATCTATTTCACTATCACTCTAAACAATTGACCCAAGATATTAAAAATGTGTACTCTTTTTAATGACTTGATTGTCCAAAGTCACAATCCCCATTCTAGATCTATTACTAATAAAATTATGCTCCGTATATTCGGTTTTAGATCTACTCAAACGAAAACCTTTAGACTCTAAGGTTGACCTCCATAGTTCAAGTTTACCTTCAACTCTCTCTCTAGTCTTATCAACAAGAAGAATATCATTAACAAAAAACATACACCAAGGTACAACCTCTTGCAAATGTTTAGTAAGAACATCCATGACTAAAGAAAAAAAGATATAGGCATAATGCTGATCCTTAATGTTATCCAACTGAAATAGAAAAATACTTGGTCAAACCACCTTGTGTTTGAACACAAGTAAAAACTCTTGCATACATGTCCTTAATGACTTGAATATAAGCATTATTAAACATTTTCTTTTCTAGAACTCTCCATAGCACTTCACTTGAAAGTTTATCATATGATTTCTCTAAATCCATAAATATTATATGCAGGTCCTTATTCACTCTATACTTCTCCATCAAACATCTCAATAAATGTATAACTTCCATAGTAGACATATTCGGCATGAATCCAAATTGATTTTAAGAAACATTAGCATCACGTCATAACCTATGCTTCATAGCTCTTAGTCATAATTTTAAAGTATGACACATTAACTTAATTCCTCTATAATTCGTACAATCTTGTGCATCACTTTTATTTCTTAAAAATAGGAATCAACACACTCATTCTTCACTCATTTGACATCTTTTATCTCTTTGTTTGGCTAACTTATACATATATCTTTCGTCCTCATTAGTATCTAATTTATTATAAAAATTATTAAAAGCTAAAAATTTTGCTTTGCATATTACTTTTGTTAAACTCCTTATAGACTTCTTTATATCTTTATAATCTTTACAATCTAAATAATCTATTTTTCTTATAAGAAATAATCAATATTTGTTTTATTATATCTACTTTTTATAAGTGATGAGATGCTCATTTATTTTCTTAAAAAAGATATTAGCAATTACAAAATCATAAGCTATAACAAAATCTAATATGGTCCTACAACATTCATTAGTTGCTTCAAACTCATAACAACCATGAATGCTTTTAAAATCATCTACCACTTTACTAACATGTCAATTTAAATCTACTCCAGTACAAACTCTTTCTTCAATAGATATCTTTTATATTAATTCTTCTAAAGCACTCCAAAATTTTAATTTTAAATATATATTCAAACCTACTTGAGGAGAATAAATACTTATAATATTAATAATCTTGGCATAATGGAGAAAAAGGCTTGATGTTGTTGTTGTATTAATAATCTTGGCATCAACAATCTTTAAATCCATAATTACATCTCCAATTTTATTACTTGTTACAACATTATCCTTCAAACTCTTATCTATAATCAAACCTATATCATTTCTAGTATGACTCTTATCAAAATATCATAGTTCAAATACTAATTTATCAATCTCCTTAGCCTTTTCTCCAACCCATTTAATTTCCTAAATACATAGAATACTTATCTTCCTATGAGTCATAATATTTATTAATTATATTAATTTGCATGTAAAGGAACTTATATTTCAAGTTTCAATCCTAATTCTAGTTTCACGGGCTAGCTTCTTTGCCCACATCCGTCCATGATGTGGGAACTCTTACCTGTTTAACATTGCACCTGAGCGCTGGTGCAACAACCCTTACACATTTCTCGGTGTTAATCAAAAAATAAAAAACTTTAAATGAAAATTCAAAACTAGCTTAAAAACAAGAAAGGTTAAATTATTTTTATTTATTCAAATAAGCTATTTGATAAGACAAGGCTTATCACATCATTTAAAAGTATTTAAGAGAACATTCTTTAGAATTATTTTCCTTGGGTATGGGTGGCTAAGAGAGAGAGAAAGGAATTTGTGGAATTCAAATTGGCATATTCCATTATTCCTCGGAGTTTGGTATAATATTTTCTCTCTCGTGGATCAATAGTCAATGTATGCTTGATTTATGGAGTTCATTTTGATGATGGCTATAGTCCCTACTTTTATGGTTTGAGTTGAGGAATTAGTTTTGACTTCTTTAAAACTTGAACTAAACTTTGAGCGGCACAAGGAGCTCAAAGAAGAAGATTTGAACCAACCATAAGAGCTCAAGGTAAGAAGGAAACTACTTTTAAGCAACAAACCATTACAAGGGGCAAAATGAAGTCAACTAATTAGGATTTAGATTTTTTAGTGTGTGGTGCTTTCTGTATAAGACCATGTAATTTTAATTTTTAATTATGAACTTTAAATTTTAAATATTGAATTTTTTTAATTCAAAATTTTGAATCTTTTAAATTTAAACTCCAAATATTGAGGGAATATAATGTAAAATAAATAGAAAAATTATTAGTTCATTTAAACTAAAGCAAATAATTGTTTTCCAACCACAACTGGCCGGTTACCACAGATTGACGCTCCTCTTCTAATCCACTCATACGGCTGGACCGTCCACTCTTATCAATCCTGTTTTTAGAAATTTCATGTATGTAAGAAAATTGAAAATGTTTTCCTAGAAAGAAATGGATTGATGTGTAATTGCTAAAAATTTTGAATATTATTCCAAGGAGGGGGCTTCATGGTCGTCCTTAAGCATTAAAGAGTTTGTGTTACTCCAACTTAGTTACTTCGGTGATTGAGAAGGTAAAAAAATCATGCCTAATTTTTTATTTTAGACCCAATCAATATAATTAAAGTCCTACCCTGATAAATCCTCTTGTT